TGGAGGGCCGCACAACGCGTAGAAAATAAAGATACTTAAAAAAAAAAATAAGAATTCCGATTGACTGATATTGTCTGTATTGGGTGTCTTCAGATAGGAGCGAAAGACCATGCCCGGTCAACATTTTTTTTTTTTTTACCAAAAGATATGTTTTATTTGTTATGCAACCTTAAAGGGCAGCTCCGCCGTCAATTTGAGCGTTTTTATCAAAACATATTTTCGGAAAGGGTACTAAAAATGTAGCCTATAGCAGCGGTTAAATTATGAAAAAACTGTATACATAATTTATAATCATTAAAATACGCTGAAACCGATACCGAAACTAACTTGCCACTCGACTGGTCCGCCATTTTGACGTGACGTCACATATGGTATAAACAGTCGCACGTGTGCAGTTTGAGCCTGGCCAGCCTGGCAGCAGATCACTGTTTTGTGTTCGTGCCGCGGATAAAGATGAACTCATCAGGCTCGTCTAAATCAAGCAACGATGAGGATATGCTGCTAGATGTTGAGGACGATGACGATAACCCGTTCTCATACGATCAGCCGGCATCGCCTCCGAGAAAACCGCCAGCGGCGGCTGCATTCGTGATCCGCCGCCATGTGGACCCAGATGCCGCTTCCGAAGCGGAATGGTAAGGCAGCTTTTGTTGCTAGCACGCCAAGAAAAACTGATCGACGTTATGCCTTTTAATTGGAGGCACTTTTTGTTATACCTTGCTGTCTGACAATAGACGGTTTCAGTAGACCGTGTTCTTAGGCGACGCTTCCACACACAACACCAATTTCCTCCAGTCGCCATTACGCGCTCTTACATAACTGTATAAACCGATAACATAAGCAAAAAGCAGACAGTCGCTAGCACCAACTAGCTACAAAGCAAGCACCCTGACCAACATGTGACGTCACGGCAACGTCAGCGCCATCATGGCAGCCTCCGTCTGCCGCTCTTGCTCAGCGTTGCCAGTAGGGCTGCAGCAAGGAATTTGGGCGCGTACATGTATATTTCAAAATTCATTTTCTTCTAAAAAAAATTAATATTTTTCCGAGATATTTTGTACACATGCTCAGGAAGGGCATCCAAATACATGGTGAAAATTTTATAGAAATCGGTGACCATCAAAATTACGGCGGAGACGCCCTTTAAAAACATATTAAAACTTTTTTTGCGGAAAATAAAATTTTTTTTGAGGAACAAAAATCACACAGTCGGTGTCTGTATACGCGCACGTTTTTGCAACTTGCGTGGAACCGTCCCTTTAGACATTTTAAAAGAAAAACTGTTGTCGCCTTAGGTTTAATATTTTTTTGTGCAGTGGCTGTGCATAAAATAATAGGAGGTAAACATGTATTATCGATTACGAAGCGATACGAAGACTGGAAATTGAAATTTTTTACCGTGATTTGGACACGTTTGTTTAATATTCGCACAAATTGTCATTGAAATTGAAAACGATAACTTTTCTAAAAAAAAAAAAAAAAACCTGAAATGTAGACAGGTTAACGATTTTGCAATAATTGGAAAATCAGTTTACAGTGAAGGCTATCTTAATGTTTCTTCTACATTTGACAGATCGAGGCTCGCAATCTGTCCTATCAGGCCCTTCAAAAATGTTCTGGCTGCAGAACCCAAGATCCTGGGTTCCATTCCCACCCCTGCCCGTTTCGATCTGGATGAGTATCGTACCGGCGTGCGGTCGTGTATCACTTCTGCGCGGTGCACGTTAAAGACCCATGGCTAGTGGTTGTACTGCACTGGCTAAATTGCTCATCTACAGCTGGGAGACTTGTCGCCCGTTCAGGCAGACCAAGATCTAGGCTGTATAAACATACACACAACCCATTTGGTTTTCAAAAATGTTTTGCAATATTGTTTGTATTTTTTTTTTATTTTACAGAGCGCTAAACGTAAAGAATATTCGTAACGGTAGATACGTGGATACGTAACGGGGGATACGTGGAGATGCGCGTACGTGGATCAAAAAGGGCAAATAAGGTTGACGTGCCGAAAACAAAAAGAGGCATTTCAGGCGAAACGCCGAGCTGAAAAAACAACCTCTGATTTCTTGGCCTTTGATCGCAAACAACACCCGCAAACTTGAGGCCGCGCTCTGCAAGACGCTGCAGAGCAGTAAATACAAGCGCCTGCAAAATGTCACTTGGTGTTGACGACGAGGAAAAGAAGTAACCCGACATTTGCTTCCATTTTCGAGTGATCCCTTAGCAAAAAGAGGCCGCACTTCAAACGAAGTTGAAACATATTTAATACGAATATTCATTTTGTATTTATTCTGTATTATTTTGGCCGCATTCGAAATACGCGCGTAAGGTATTCAAAATACATTATAAATATAAATCAAAAAATATTTTATACATACCAAAAATATTATCCCTTCACACTCAAGATGCCATTTGTGCATTAAAAACCGGTTACACAATTTTTTTTTTTTAGTTTTGATTTCGTCAGCAAATGGTGTCCCTCTGGTATTTGAACTTTGAAGACACTACTAAATACATCTCACAAAGGTGCATCAGAAACGAACACAAACACAGACACCATTTAATTAAATGCAAAGGTGCAAGCGAGCTGGACAAGAATGATGAAAATAATCCCTGGAGAAGGGGAACAAGAGGGACAAAGGACAAACATAAATCTCCAAACACAGCTAGGTGACTGGTGAGCGACCGAAAAAATCCGCCTGGTCCGGGTATCGAACCCGGGACCTCTCCATTACAAGTCCCTCTTGTTCCCCTTCTCCAGGGTTTATTTTCAACAGACACCATGACGCACTGAACAGCTCATTCGCAGTCCCGTTGACTGCTCTAGAGCCTTATATAGCCTACATATTGAAGGTAATCATTTTTTCGGTGACCACCTCTGCGCTTATTAAGGTTCCAAGTATTCGATCCTCTCCTCGGGAGTCTGTCAAAGGGGAAACAGTATTCTGAAGTTCGTAGACGATATCTCTTACTAAAAGGCATTGGTACAACTAATAACAATTCGGCGTAGTCCCTAAAACAATATCCACACAAACGGCTCATAAAATACATGTTATTGCTTCTCTGCATAGCAGCACTCAGGACGAAGCGAATCAAGGCAGTTTCTTCACTTTAAAATACTGTAAACGACTTTATTTTCGTGAGGACCGAATTCTCGCAAATTTCGCGAATCGCCTACAATTCCGAAAAATAGGTCCCGTGAACATTTCCGGCAAAATGTAAAAACATTAAAATCTATATTGCGATCCCAGCGCGTCGCGAAAATTAGAATTTGCGAATTATTCCAAAACTCCAGCTGTGACCTAAATCGCGAAATATTGAGCCCGCGAAAAATAAATATTTTACAGTAGTTGTTTTGCCTTTCCTTTTTAGTAGTTGACTATTTAATATGGTAGTTAATGTCACTATATTAAAGTCACTATTCACATCACGTACAATGGTGAGTATACACGTTCAGTGAACTAACATTGTGCTAACGAAACCACGCCAAACGTATCTGTTCACAGCACCTGCTGAAGCTTTCATGCATCAGCAAATGTTGTGGTTGTAGTTCCCGAACCCCGTTTGTGATTGGTGTGCAAGGAACTGATCAGGTGTGTTCTTGATAGAAAAAAGGAAACAATAACATAAACTGGACTGATTTATCAGTGCGATGCTGCGCAATTCAGTTGACAAAGTAATCAAATGTTGTATTTAGGCGCTTCAGTGTACTCCATATCTGCTTGAAGTGAACTAGAAGGAAACTTTTCAATATTTTGGTAGTTTAAGTCAAACTACCAAAGTATCGCAGTCAAAAGGTACTTTGAGTATAACACAACAGTATTTACAATTTTCAGGTATTTTAAGAGTATTCTGCACGTATTTTTGATTGCTCCATTTTTTTAGGGTTGGAGTATATTTTGCATGAATTAAATAAATATTTCAAGAAATATATGTGAAAGGTATTTTGTGCCTATTAATTTAGTATTTACATATTTCAAAACGCATTAAGGGAACTACAAATGTAGTTTAAGTAAAGGTATTTTAAAATGATTTTTAGAAGTATGTTTTAGTACTAAGTAAAAAAAAAAGACGTTTATATTTTCGGTCTATTTTTCGTGTACTTACAATTATGAACTGTATTTCAAATACACTCAAATTAGAATGTGGTATATTTAAAACTTATTAGTTTTCGCTAAGGAATGCTACGGACCATCAAACAGAGCGCTTCAGTGACAGGCTTCTGCCCAGGTCGGGAAGGGTGTTGTTGCCCGAACGTTTCGAGACCCACGACAGAGTCGGAAGCACTTAAGTAGAATCTATATTGAGATCCCACCTCGTCGCGAAAATTAGAACCCGCAAATTATTCCAAAACTTCAGCTGTGACCTAAATCGCGAAATAGTGAGCGCGTGAAAAATAAGTCGTTTACAGTAAACCGGAAAGAAAAACTACAAGGGTCGAGGGGTAAGTATGCCGGTGTATATCAAACATTATTGTGAAAAACCTGAGACTCGAGTTTTCACAAAAATGTACAAGGGTCACTGCATTTGATATAAAAGTTTTCTTCCGTAAACATGTGTAAACATATACACAAACGTGTATACAGCCACGTATACTCTAAAAAAAGCCCGTGAGTCTGCTTTCCCGCACAACACTCGGAGAGCCAATCACCGCCACTTACGAAGGCAGCTCAGCGAATGACAAGGCCGAAACATATGTTTAGATAAAAAAAAAGACGCAGTCTGAGTTGTGACATTAAGCGATGCAAGCGTGAACTTTTGCATTGCTTAATGTCACAACTCAGACTGCGTTTTTTGGTCTAAAAATATGTTTCGGCATTGTCATTCGTTGAGCTGCCTACGTAAGTTGCGGTGATTGGCTCTCCGAGTGTTGTGCGTGAAAGTAGCTACCCGCACAAACATATTTTAGAGTGAATACATATTTAAGAAAAACACAGGAACTCGTTAGTTTCTTACAACACTTCCCGCTAAGCGTTTCGAGAACAAGGAGGTTGTAAGCCATGAAAGCTGCCTTGATGCACGGGTTGCTGATAGCAGCGTTCGTATGCATGCAGTTGTCCCAATACGAATCAGCAATGACACATGACGACGCCTTTTATGAGAGAGTTTTGGGAAGAGACCCCGGTATATGCGGTAAGTGTGACTTGGCACGAGATTTGACTGATATTTCTATCAGCGAAAGCATTTATGTTAAAGAAGTGGTGCAAGATTATTGTACTTTACGAAAATACCGTTTAGAATAAACCCCTGACGTTGATAAGCTATGAAACACGCGTTAGGTTTTCTCTTCACGGGTTGGTAGTCGCAGAAAAAATTAAAGAAAACGAGCAGCGTTCACACCCGTCAACTCCCAGCCAGATTAAGCGACCACGCTATCTGGAGCCTATTATATGCCGCCAATGTTCATCATAGCCACGCGCTGGGATTGGCACGCGCTGAGTTCCGCACATTGTTAGTGTTCGGCTGTTGCCGACATTGCTGCGATCAGACACGAGCCACCGCCCGTATGCTGGTCGAGTTATTGATTATCACGAGCCCAAATCAAGTGCTCACGCAGTTTTCGGGTCCAATCTATGAGCCGCATTCAAAGATCGTCACTCGGGGAACCATGCCGTTGATTTGCCAACACTGTGACCTCCGAGCTACGTCATCAAGTTTTGCGGAGGAAAGATTGAAAGAAAACGCTAGTTTTTATCCTTGAAATTAGACTGCAAGCATAATGTTTCTTCATTAGTATCGTAGCATGCGAGTATACATAGGTCCCTCTGGTGCAAGTAAGCTCGTTCAAAGTGAAAAACAATCAAACTGAATATTGTTGCGCCGGCCCTTTAAAAAGACCATGCAGCGATATTGGGTAGGAACGTTTCTCACTTTACTCAAGCTTACTGGCACTAGTGGGACAAGAGTACTCTCACGAAACGCCACTGTCCAAGAAACGTCTTTGTCACCGAGTAATTTCAAGGTTAAAAAGGGACGTTTTCTTTAAGTCTCTCCTTCGAAAAGCCTGATGACGAGGTTGGAGAGATCGCATTGTCGGCGTTGTGAACGATGCGATTCCCAGGATTTTGTCATAAAATTTTGGCGATTTCCGTGCCGACGATATTTATCTGCGGCTCATACGGTAGATAAGAGGACTGCGTGGTGCATTCGATTTGGGCTCGCTTCAGTCAATGTCTCGACATGCATTCGGGGATTGGCTCGCGCCCAACCGCTGCGACGACGGTCATTGCCGAAGTTTAATGCGTGGAACTCGGTACGTGGCTATAATCAACATTGGCGGCATATAATCGGCTCCAGGTTACGTGGCCACATGTTCTGGCTCCGGGTTGACCGTGTGAAGGCTGCCCAGTTTCCTCGAATTGTTTTCTGCATATGACATACTGTGGAGAAAGAAAAAATAAAAACGCTTATTTTATGGGTAGGGTTCGTATTTTCCGATAAATCTGAACTACTCCGAAAAACACTCGGCGTTAAAATTTTTGTCAAGTCTGATTTATCCGCAAGACTTTTAATTTCAATGTTTGAATGCGAAAAAAGGAAGACATTTACTCTAGTATTAAGGTTTTTCAGAGCTCCGGTCGAAGATCCTGAGAATATGCCACTCCAGCTTTCTTTCGAATCTCGGATCATTGAGAAAAGGTGTCTTACCGCTTATCTCGTCAAGGTTCATTCAGGATTCCACTTTTGGAGCACGACAAAAGCCACTTTTCCGCTTTCCAGTATACACCAGTTTTGTGTGCTTTTTAGAAAAAGAAGGGGATGCGTTTCTTTATCAGTGGAATCTATGAACCATAGATATTTCGTAGAAGGAGGAAAAGCGGGGGGGGGGGGGGGGGGGGGCAGTGGAAACTTCTAGATTGCACCCTTTACTACTCCGCACCTCACAGCCATGGGGTGAGTCCGTGGTTCTCAACCATCGATGTTTCGCGGACCTTTTGTGGATCGGCGGAGCTGATGGAGGACCCCGTCCGTGGTGAGAGGAGAGGAAGCAAGTTTAGGTTAAATATACTAATGATTTAATAAATGAAGATAACTAAGGGCTAGGTTAAAGTTAGCCTCTCTTATTGACATACAGCTTTTAAGAAAGTTGTATGTAAAAAAAAGGCAACTTTTATTTCCGGGATTGACTGATGAGGCAGGGCTTCGCGGACCACAAGAATGCCTTCGCGAACTCCAGAGGGTCCGCAGACCCCCATTTGAGATCCACTGGTGTAAGTTATGGAATAGGACGGGATAAAAAACAAGCTTTCCAGCGACAAGCTTCAGGAGTAAAGTGGTTTTGAGGTATCGACGCTTGTAGAAGCAAAACTTGTTTGCAAGGTTTATCGTTGGAGAGATTACTAGTGTCAAGGACAAGGGCGACAGCGCGTGTCCAGATGAAGAAATATTTAAGACACGTTTAAACCCGTATAAACGTTTCGTCTTAATAGGGAGCATTGCAAAGTTAGGGTTCAAATTTAGAATATTTGGTAATCTAATCAAAATGAACTCCGATAAACACAAGATTCTCAGCAAAAAAAAAAAAAGAAAAAAACTCTGAGAAAACATTTTTTGAGTAGGACGCAAAATCCCCTCGAAAGCACGTAATCCTGTTCATAGATTATGAATGTCAAAGAATAATTTGAACAATACTGAACGTCGAAAGCCTCTCGGATCGCCTTTTTAAACATTTGGAATCGGCATTGGTCTTACCCGAACGCAAAAAGCATTCTTCGTCAGATTTGTATGTTGACGCGCGAGAGTTTTATCTTTGTAGAACATGGTTCGCAATTTTTTTTCTTTGGTACATACAGCGCCCCCATATCTTACAAAAAGACGACAACTGATGCGAAAAAACACACAAACCACCAAACAAAAGCCCCCTCCCCCCTGTACGCATCTTTTGCTTGTGAAGCATTTCTTTCAAACGTGAGACGGAAGCTACATCGATACCGGCACGCCGTCGTTCAATTGCACGTCAGCCACGTCGCCAGAATTTTGCACCGGGGGGGGGGGGGGGGTCCGGCTCATGACAAAATGCTGTATGAGGGGAGGGGGCAGAGGAGGCCCCAGCAAAATGGAAGATTCTGAGGGGAGGGGGGCCGGGCTCCATGGGCCCCCCTCCCCCTGGGTAAACGTGCCTGCCTTAGCACTTCAATTCGTTTTTAGCCGGTATGCATAAACAGACATTTTCCGCAACAATTAACTGATATGTTTCGGCTTTCCAATCAAAGTACATTGATTTGCTGGGCTCAGCAGCGTTCCGACTGTCTTTTCATCTGAACTTTTCGGTCGCTGAGCTGTCGGCACGCTATCGTTCGAGAGATTAATTCGTTTTCAGGCGAGAGCATGAACAAACCTTTCCCGCAAAGCTAACTGTTGTTTCGGCTTTCCAATCTAAGTATCTTTATTCGCTGCGGCTGGGCAAAGCATTCGGAGCAGGGCAGCGGTCTGACTGTCTTTTCATCCCAACTTTTCTGTCGTCGAGCTATCGGCACGCTCGTTCGATAGATCAATTTGTTTTCATGCAAGACGCACGAACAAACCTTTTCCTCAACGCTCACTGATGTTTCGGCTTTCTAATCAAAGTATCTTTATTCTCTGGGCTAAGCATTATGAAAGGGTCAGAGCGGTTCGAACATCTCCTCATCTCGACAACTTTTCTGTCGCTGTGCTATCGGCACGCTACCGTTTGATAGATGAATTTTTTTCAGGCGAGATGCACGAACAAACCTTTTTCGGAACGCTAATTGCTGTCTTGGCTTTCAGACCAAATCGTTTTTACCTACTGTATTTAGCCCTAATCAACTGAAAAGGGGCAGCGGTCCGGCTATATGCCTTTCGTCTCGAGGGTCTCAGCAGTAGCGCAGCCATCTTGTTTGTTCACGTGACGTGAAGGAGCGCGAAGAAGTCGCTCGCGCTCCGATAAATTCTCGGTGCACGAAGAGCGCGCTCGAGTGTCAGTCTCTGGTGGCACTCCTGTCCGTTTAGTGAGAGGGGCGCCAACCTCTCGCGCTCCGGTTGCCGCAGTAACACCCTGGGGTGAAACCTACCGGCACACCGCCAACTCGCCGCTTACGCTCCCATTCTCCTTTTGCCGAGAGAACTTCCAGTTCCGGTGACAGAGCATGTCACGACTGTCAAAATTACGCCGCAGCTTGTTTTGCGGTAAGTTAGGGAGTAAGAAGAACTGGATATTTCACCGATTATTTTTTTTTGTATAAGTTAATAAACCGAAACTAAAACGGATGCCTGTTCGGCGTTCAGTGAACATTGAAGGTATAATATAAAAGTTCTTTGGGCAAAAGTAAAAAGGTCCCATTTCATGGTCCCTTCCCTTTCAATGAAAATTTAATATCAGGCAGCTTAAGTCACTCGCATTTAAAAAACAAAACACATGCCGTGGCGCGTTTCGAGCCCGTTATCGCTTAGCGACCAATGGGATTGCAGCATTAGTCCGTAAGAACGCCGAAGAACGAATCATGAAGCGAGGGGTATGAACATAATAGGCCAGGCCCCGCAGTTCTCAAATTGTCAGGGAATATAGTCTCTAGAACTTTAAGAAACGCAAGACGTGGTTATTCCCTAGAATCTTATTACAGCTTCGCAGACAATGCCACTGCGGCATTAGCCGGCAAGAACGCCGAACAAGGAATCTCGTGGCGAGAAGTTTAAATAAGCCACACTTTGCGTTTCTTAGGCCGTCAGTGGACTATGCGGGCAGAAAGTGAGAGAGAGAGAAGGAAACAAGAACGCCGATCTTTGATTTTAACGATTAGTGGGTAGATCTAAAGCTAGCTGCCTTTTTCTCTACTCAATGTTTGAACGCGTCCAATGAGTGACGAAAAAGTAGCTGGCTTTGAGTGTACCCACTCATCCTTTCAACCAGAGCTCGGTGTTCTGACGTTCCCGCGTGCTTTCGTCTGCTATCTTTCTTTTAGTTTTTACCCGTATATATCTAGAAGTAAATCTTGAATACGAATATCCAGAAGCTTGCATTTATTACTAAAGTTTACGTTGTCTAGATCTCATTAAATTGCATAAGTTGGAGTAGGCAGCTCTTAAATATTCGAAGAAAGTCATGTAATTGCAAAGCGGTTAAAATGTTCTGAACAATATGATGCAATTATATTAGTCTTCGGGCCGCTATAGAACGCGTCATCTTGTGTTATCCAGTGACTTTTTTTTTTTAAAGTTAATAAAGTTATCTCCTGAGCCTTGAACATTTGCTTTATGTTTTGCTGGTAATGTTGGACTCTGAAAAAGGACGCCTTACTTGTGCTATTAGTCAATGGCGTAATGCCGCTGTGTGCGACATGATGAATATGAAAGGTTCAGTCATATAATAGAGCTGTTCTGTTTTCATGAATTATAACTTAAGTTGCCGTCGTATTGTCTCCCCGAATAGGTGGTTGGTATAGAGACCGTAGCAAAACGGAAGACATTATGAAATGCGTTTTGAATGAGGTACCACACGCTGTAAGTACAGTTATATTATTTGGTACTCCTCCGCGAGCTAATACGGTACTTTACAATATTTGACGTAAAAATTCCATTTATGTGCAAGAAAAACGTCTGAAACATCCGTAGAAAATAAACAAGTTTATCTTTCCCAATTACTTCAATTTGCTTTAGTAACATTGCTATATATGTTTTTTTGTATAATTTATAGCACATATATCATCCCACTTTATGTTCAGATACCTCCCTTTTTCTCTCTCTCTATATATATATATATGTTTACAGGGTGTTTTTTTTTTAGCTTAACAGATTTGTTTAAATACAACCGTGAAAGTTACACTTATGCCGCTTATGGAGGTGAGTTATACGGCCAGGGGGACATATTATAGGGGGCTAATCGTAACGATCAGTCATCTGATTAATTAAAATTCGTTAATTAACTTTTTTATTAATGAAAATAGACATATGAATTCAATTAGAAACTTGCTCGGCGTCATCGAAAACCACTAAATCAGTCAGTTTCAGAAAGACTTTCGGCGCGTTAGAAGCGTAGTATTCTACTAAAGTTCCCACTTGTGGAGCAGGTACAAGGCTGGGGCTAGATAAGGGACGGAAAAATTGCGCGGGCGCCTTGTCGCAACCGCTAGCTTATGGTGAATTCCACTCGTAGATCTGGAGCGCTTTCCAAAATCCGCGAGGGAGGCGAAATTCCGCTCCGTGGGACCCGCTCCGAATCGACGAGGGGAAGATAAACTTGCATTTTTGAAGCGACCTCCCCCACACCCCTTCCCATCCCTTCTCCCTCCGCCGTACAAAATGGCCGCTGGTCGAACTTGGCCAGTCCCACCAACGCCTCAGCCGGCTAATCTTTACGACGACCAGTGACGACTGTCACTGCTTAGCTGCAGAAGTAACACGCGACACAGGCCGGGCGAAATTATACGTACCACGGCGCTCATGTCACAAATAACGAAGACGTCCGCGTTCGGCACCGTCACATACCTTTCGGCCGCCTCGAAGCAGCGGGGCACGGACAGCGATTGCCAGCGGTGGAGTTCAGATTTGTAGTACGACTTTAATAAACACAGAGGTAACAAACCATTACTTGCGCGGTCGTTGCCTTACCACTTCTTGCTATATTTCACGGGAAAACGCCGACGGAATGCAGTGCAAAAAGGTAAACAATCACTGGCTGCAGAATGAATAGGCCTAACCTTGCGTCTGCCTCCGGCTTTTCTGTCGTTCCTTTTCTCGTTCTTCCTCTCGCGATCACAGAGTCAGCGCTTACAATTTGCCACGCTCCACATTCCTGGCTTTTTATCCCTGATCTACGCGAAGTAGAAGCGTTGGAGCCGTCACAATCCAGAGTAAACAACCGACGCACCCGAACAGATCCAACTCCACGACCCGAGCGGCCCGCCAATCTCTCCAACCTCGCCGCGCATGCGCACCTCCGATTTAGACGGAAATCACGTGGGCCGCTCTGTCAACTTCCGGAGAGATCTGTGAAACCCCGCCGAGCAAGTTCGGCGGAGTTTGGGGCGCTCCGTGGAGCGGGCGCTGCCAGAGATCTACGAGCGGAAGATGACGAACTTGAGCCAGATCTGCGAGCGGAATATGCGCGCTCCAAATGGAGCGCTTTTGGAGCGCTCAAGATCTGCGAGCGGAATTCACCATTAGTGTACCTGCTCCACGAGTGGTAACTTTAGTGCACTGCTACGCTTCTCACGCGCTCAAAGTCTTTCTGAAAATTACTGATTTAGTGGTTTTTGATGACGCTGAGTAAGTTTCTAATTGGAACCATATGTCTATTATAATTAATTAAAAAGCTAATGAACGAATTTTAATTAATTAGCCGATTGATCGTTTCGATTATTCCCGAATAATATGTCCCCCTGGCAGTATAACTCACCTCCACAATCGGCATAAGCGTAACTTTCACGGCTTTTCTTAAACAAATCTGTTAAGCTTAAAAAAAAAAAACCCTATATATATATAGAGAGAGAGATAGATATATATACAGGGTGTATTTTTTTTATTCTTACACATTTGTTTAAAAAAATCCGTGAAAGCTACACTAATGCGATTTGTGCAGGTGGGTTATACGACCAGGCGGACATCATGTAGATGGCTAATCTTTGCGATAAATCGGCTAATCAATTAAAATTCGTTAATTAACTTTTTAATTAGTGGAAATAGACATATAGTTTCAATTACAAATTTGTAGAGCATCATCGAAAACCACTAAATCATCTGTTTCTGGAAGGATATTGCCGCGCGCAGGGTCACGGACTTGTAGAAAGTTCTCGTTCACTCTTGCTGCGGACATAACTATCGTTCATCCCTGTTTTTGTTGTTCTAGAAAGTGCTTGTTCATTCTCGCCCCGAGCGCGCTACGCTCGAACCTTCTCCGCCGAATCTTCGAGATACTGACTCACTCTAGATAAGAGGCCGCCCGCGACCTTGTCGAGTCAGTCTCGCCCCAGCGCTCGATTCTGCTGACACGCCGACTTCGACGCCCGCGACGCTCTGCTTTCTTCTGTTTCCTTCTTTATTTTTGGCACAAGTTCGCCACATTAAACGTTTATTTATTTCTGTTTATTTCTTGTTTATTGGTCACGACTCACCCCCCCTTGACAATATAACGCCGAGGAAGCATTTTACGGCGTTCTGTAAAAGCGTTCCATTTGGACGCGTTTCTAGATTTCGGTTTCTTATCGGAGCGCATCACCGCGCCCGCGGTCCTGCTTCCCAGTGGCTGAGACGCGCAACACACGTACTTCCCTCCATTCTACGAGGGAGGCGAGGAGGTGGCTTCGCGTCGCGACCACCGGGGAGCAGGATTGCGGGCGCAAAGATGCGCTCCGATAAGAAACCGAAATCTAGAAACGCGTCCAAATGGAGCATCATTACAGAACACCGGAAAATGCTGCCCCGGCGTTATATCCTGCTAAAAATAGTTGATTTAGGGATTTTCGATGATGCTCAGCAAGTTTCTAATTTAAACCGTATGTTTATCTTCAGTAATTAAAAAAGTTAATTAACGAATTTGAATTAATTAGCCGACTTATTGCAAAGATTAGCCGCCCACATAATGTCCGCCCGGACGTATAACCCACCTGCACAAACCGCATTAGTGTAGCTTCCACGATTTTTTTTAAACAAATGTGTAAGAATAAAAAAGAACACCCTGTATATATCATTTCAAATCGTGCCGGCAAAATGTGTCGAATTTTTAATTTCGCTGAAAAATATATATGTTATGGCGTCGGCTCTGAAAACGCAGTAGCTACAAACCGCTAGTTCGTGGAATTTGTTCTTCTCTACTTACGAATTTTAAAAGAGGCCGCGGCGGAAAGCAGTGTTTTTCACATCCGTCGGGGGTCGGATGTTTCGCTCGCTCTACCGCCGTGGATTTTCAGTCCACATTATATTAAATTTTTTCAAGCACTCTGTAAGTACAGGTGAAAGGCTCTATACCATGAAATAATTTTAGGCTCTTTGCTTTTTTTCTGTAAAAATGTCAAAAACGCCCCCTCGGTTAATTGTTGATGAACTTTGACAATTAAATACTGGCGATGTACTTCGGTTACATCAATATTTTTTTATGTCTACGGAGAGCCCAAAACACGCTCTTTATATATATTACAAAATAACGCATCTGTACGAAGTATCCTTTGCGGGACGTTTACGTTAATGTTATGCGAAAACCAAAAAGTAACAATTTTGAAAACAATCTTCTAAAAAAAAAACTTTTTTTTATTTTTTTAGGTTTTGTTAAAATGTAGATATGATAGCTGTCTACTTTAAAAGCAAGTCGAGAAAGTGTGTATTTTGTTTGTGTATTCTATATTTAAGCCTCAATATCGAAAAAAGATGTCTTCGTTTCGCAAGACCCAAGTCAGACATGGCGACCCGTGCGTTTTTATGAATTGTGAAAAAGTTTTCTTGATTTTTTGTTTGTGTTTTGTACTCAATTATAAACGTATTTTGTGGTATAGGATAGTTATTTATGTTTTGATAAGAGAGGGAAACATCGAGAAACGTATCAAATCAGCAGGCCTAGTAAACCTTCAATATCGAAGAGGCACAGACGTTGTATTGTTCTCATTTGTAAAATTTTCACTGTAAACTAGCATGACTACCTTTTAGCTCTCATATTACTAAGACATAGAAAGTCACCACATCATTGATATATTACATACAATTCTTTCCGAAATTAAACGCTATAGGGTTTGTTCACCGCACATCGCACAGATCACCAGGGAATGGCCTTTCACTTCCGTAATACACTAAATTGATGACACAGAGACGGTCCAAAACTCACGAAGAGATTGTCACGGAGTGGGTAAGGAATAAAAATGAATAAATATGAATAAAATTACCCAACTCCGATCTTAACAAAAATTGCGTTAAAAAAAAAGAAAAAAAGATTTAGGTCCGAGCGGTGGCAAGGTGATAGGTCCACGCCTGGTGGAGAGTCAGACAAAAAGATCAACGACACGTAGCGATGAAAAAAAAAAAGAAAAAGTTAGTCCGGACGAAACCACTCAGCTGCACACGGCAAGAACAAAAACCCACTCCTCCGGGCATTCACTAACCGGGACACAACCAAATGCGTGAGAACACGCTCTCTACAGCACCGTCAGGCCGCTACGCCATGGCGAAATAAACCCAACAAGTAAACGATGCTAACAAAAAACAAAACATTCCAAAAAAACGTTCAATAGAACCGCACCCAAGAAAAAAAGCTCAGCGGAACGAAAAAACACACTCGAAATAAAAAAAAAAAAAAGCTTTAACTGACCGACGCCGAGTCCAGTCCCACGACACTGAAGCCTGGAAGGATGACGGCGTCCAGATGATGCTTCAATCTATTCTTCACTTTGCTCCGCACAGCCACGACGGCTGTGCGGAACAGTGGCTGTGCGGCACAGAGTGAAGAATTGATCGAGCAGCGATGCGCGAGAAGATAACCGAGACGTAACATGCCTCGAGCTTCATATCGGGAGAGGAGCTTTCAAGGTATTTACTGTAGTTACTCGAACTTTTTTTTCCCCTTCCCTTTTTCAAAAGAACACGTCAGCCGGCGCCAACTTTTCATCTGGGGAGAAGTCCACTCTTCACAAACGGTTATAGTTGATAAGGAGGCTGACTTCGACCCAACTAGTCCCCGGGCTTTGCTGTTTCCAAAAGAGAAAACCCTTCGATACTATAAGATCCAAGCGAAGAGAGAGACAGAGAGAGAGAGAGAGCACGGCCGTTTCAATGATAGGGCACTCGAAGCTTGGGCAAAAACGCGGTATCGTTTCACGCGTGCACGTATGGCTGGTTTCAAAATTTCCCCACATCCCTAACGTAACCGGCCCATCTTCGTGTGTGCGTCTGCGGGATTGTTGTCCCACGACGTCGGTTTTAACCCTCACGCGGCGTTGTTTCGGCCGGCAGAACTGTTGTTGACCGTCAATATTGTAAAACCGTGGTGTCCTTATCCTCCCAGGCAACAGTTCCTTTGTTTTCCCTTCTGCAATACTCTGACCGACTGACTCCTCCTGCGCGGCTGTCACTGTTCGCCGCGTCAACGACGCATTCGTACCATTTCACTCCTCATGACGCAGGGTGCGCTGCTTGCTTTACTGTCACGGGCCGTGCTATCTAACACAACGAGTGCGAAAGGTCGTGGTCATCTGCTGGTTCCGAAGGGGCGGGACGTTCATATAGGCCAATGAGGGTCTCGAATCAATACGACGTCTGCCGATTTCTACACATTAAAATTTACGATGCTTGCTGGTCTGTTAAGAAGTGTTGCTTTCTCTTTTGAACTCCTCCAATATAGCTTGCCGCCTATAATAAAATTTAAATGATCAATAAATATAACAGGGTGGAACTACTGTATTTCATTTTTATGTGAGAACATTGAAAAAAGGCAAAAATATTTTCAAGTTTGTGAAGACGCGCAATGCGCAAGTCCGTTTCGATCCGTAATAACACGTTTTTCTACGATATTGACGCTTAAATATAGAACATACAAACAAAATACACACTTTCTCAACTTACGTTTCGCGTAGACAACTATCATATCTACATTTTAACAAAAAATAAAAAAAAGTTTGTGTGAGAAAATCGATTTCAAATTGGTACTTCTTGGTTTTAGCAGAACATTAACGTAAACATACCGCAAAGGATATTTTATACAGCGGAGTCATTTTATAATATGTATATAGAAAGCGCGTTTTGGGCTCTCCGTAGACATAAAAAGTATTGATGTAACCCAAGTAGATCGCCAGTATTTAACTGTCAAAGTTCGTTAACAATTAACCTAGGGGGCGCTTTTGAGATTTTTACAGAAAAAAAGCAAAACGCCTAAAATTATTTCATGGTATTAGAGCCCTTTACGTGCGCTCACAGGGCGCTTGAAAAAAGTTAATATAATGTGGACTGAAAATCCACGGCGGTGGAGCGAGCGGTACATCCGACCCACGACGGATGTAAAAAACACTGCAGTGCTTTCCGCCGCGGCCTCTTTTAAAATTCGTAAGTCGAGAACAAAAAATCCAACAAACTTGTGGTTTGTGGCTACTGCGTTTTTAGAGACGACGCCATAACATATATTTTTTTCAGCGAAATTAAAAATTTGACCCTTTTTGTCTGCACGATATGAGATGAAATCCCCAATATATATTATATATATATATAGGTATATAAACAAGGTGTCTTTTTAAGCTTAACAGAATTTAAAAAAAAGAGAAAAAAGCAAAACATGAATGTTAGATTAATGCAGTTTGCGCAGGTGAGTTATACGGCCTGGTGGAAATAGTATAGGAGGCTAATCGTAACGATCAGTCGGCTAATTAGTTAAAACTTGTTAATTAACTTTTTAATTAATGAAAATAGGCATATATTTCCAATTAGAAACTTTCTCAGCGTCATTGAAAACCACTAAATCAGTAATTTTCAGAAAGACAAGGCTAGCGCTTGCTGTAAGACACCCGCGCAATTTTTCCGTCTCTTATCTAGCCCCAGTCTTGTACCTGCTCCACGAGTGGTAACTTAGTGCACTGTTACGCTTCTCACGCGCTCAAAGTCTTTCTGAAAATGACTGATTCAGTGGTTTTCGATGACGCTGAGCAAGTTACTATGTCCTCCTGGTCGTATAAGTCCCCTGCGCAGACCGCATTAATCTAGCATTCGTGTTTTTTTCTTTTTTTTTAAAATTCTGTTATGCTTAAAAGAACACCCTGTATATATATTACGCCAACTACGACAGCGTTATAAACGCACCATTTGTTGCATGTTTGTAATTATGTCTATTGTTGCTCTGCTGCTGTAGCTTTGTAAGAAAGGCTAGAGCCTTGTCAGGCGACTGGTCGCCCTTTGCTCCAGCCTTTGAGACTTCTGATCTAAATAAAGAAATAAACACGAAACAAACATAGCATTTCATCGCATACTTAACATTATAAATGCCGAAGAGATATGGCTATAATACGTTTTGTTTTAAAACATATGTTCAAGCTGATCTCTGTTGAGCCACAGGTTTGTTCCGAAAACAACCCAAGTAATACAGAAAGTGCCGCGGCGCATATGGCGAACATTTTCCAATCGTTAATATATTGCATTTCGGCCATCTTACGTGGTATGCATATCTTCCTTATACAGGTAAAAAAACAATGGGAAGACTATATGGACAAAAATTCCCTAAACGTAACCGAACTCGCTAGCGAAATCTGCAACCTTGTAAGTCTACTTTAACTGCATGATATGTTCAAGTAAAAGATAAGAGTTCATGACAAACGAAGTACCATCTCCTGATGTCTCTCTGTAGAGGAATGTCGAAACATCTCTGCCACAGAAGCATAATTAGCGTAAGAAAAGCTAAAGCTTCATATTTTTTTTCTCATTAACAATTGTAAAGCTCTAGGAATTAGCTAGGTTGTGTCCGCAGAGATAGAGAGACTTAATTTTCTTCCCATGACCAGCACATGAGCACGATCGGAAGAGAAGGACGGCACGTACATTTCACTTTACCGCGCATATCGCTGTGACGACCGTAATATTTCAGGTAGGGACACGGGGTGACATGAAGGGGACGTTCAATAATATTCTTTAGGAAAGCTTCCCACTTTACGGAGGTTTACGGCCGCTATAGTCGTATCCAAGTATACTCGCACGCAACGTCACTGACTTGGAAATGTTTTTGTCGCCACGTAATTTCGCGGACGAAAGTGGACGATTACTTTCACTCTCTTCTTTGCAAAACTTGATAACGATGCTATGGAGACCACAATGTTGGAGTTGTCAACAATGCAATCCCCAGGATTTTGTCATCAAGCCTTGCGATCTCCGTGGTAACAAGATTTACAATGACACGAGAACTGCGTGAGCATTCGACTTAAGCTGGTAACAATCATTAAAAAGTTAGCAGCTTGGGGCTCACACTCCGAAAGCCCACACTTCCTGCGCATGCGCAGTGCGTCGCTCCAAGCTGCTTGGGGGACCCAAAGCGTTGGGGACCCCTACTCTAAAACTCGCGAATGCCATGACAAGCATTCGGGTAATGGCTCGTGCCCCATCGCTGCAACGACGGGAATAGCCACTTAACAACGTGTGGAACTCAGCACGTGTCCTTTGGTTTGCGAACCCCAGAGCGCGGTTATAAGGTATAACAAACTTCAGATCGCGTGGTCACTTGTTCCGGCTAAGGGATGACCGCTGTTCGTTTTTCTTGAAATTGTTCCTGCGACTGCCCCCATCACGTAGTATATATATACATATATATAACGTGCTATTTTAGGTTAGAAATGTAAAGGAATAATTTAATGCCATATTTGTTCAAAGTACAAAGGTTACTTAATTGCTACCGCATTCAATAACAGAAAATATACAGGTGAGCTGGTGAACTTTCAACGTTTGGGAAACCCGAGACCGAGAAATAAGAAAGGCGACAACACGAAAGTTTGTGCGTGTGCTCTCCCCATTTTCGTTCCCAGGCCTCGTGTTTTCATGATGCTGACGTTTCATATGATCCAACTGTTTATGCGGAAATTGAGTTCCGAAGTAAACTCCGTTTTTCTCATCGCAAATTGCGGAAAGGCTTTATTAGATCGCAGTGATAGGATATCCGCGCACCCGGTGGGGGATCACACATACCGTTTTTTTTTTTAATTGTACGATGCTTGTGTTTTAACTTAGTGCGTTTTAATGAACTGCATATCGTAACTATATCTAAATATACATATTTCAGTGTCGCCCTCAATTATAAACGGTGGCTCATGTCAGTTGACGCTACACAACATATATTTACTATATATGCGAGTTAAGGGGACACTGACGGGTATTTATGCTCACCGATATTTTTATTTGTACCCACTACCCAAAACACAATTTGCGGCTTAAAATTTGTTTGTTCCCCCCGAAAACCGCAGGCCGTGAACTGACCAGTTTGAGTCGCGCTCAACCTCTTCTTGATCGTCGCGTGCAGTGCAAACACGCGTACCAAGGTTACTCAAATTAGTGGGTGATTTAAGGCATACACTCAATAATAAAAGTAGAAAATATGAAACTTATTTTTGTGAGTTCGAAAAAGCCGCAAACGCGCTTGTTGAAAACAAATGTTGCACAGATCACAGCGAGTACATTTACATAATCTAAATATGGCGACATACCGGGGGCTGAACGACATGATGGCAACGCACGACGGACGAACGTTGCGGCGGACGTGGGACCGCTACTTCGGAACTGTTGTTCGCGGTACCAGCAAATCGATCTTCAAGCACAGAAAAGCGATCGGGACGAAGTGCAAAACAGTCACCGACTGACGGTTCACTCAACATCGTCGTCTGCCTTGCACAGCCAGAAAAGCGGAGAAAAGCGGAAAAAAAAGGACGCGGTTGGGTGTAGCTAGCCACGTGACCTCGGGCAATAACTCTCTCGCTCTAAATTTCTCCCTCCTCCTCGGTGCACATTGTCCACATGTCGCAGCCATGAGCCTCCGTGCTCATATTTTAGAGCGCAGCTCTTAGACGCCCGTTTACGGCTTGAGCGGTGTCGCCGTCGCCGTCGGCGTCGGCGTAATTTCGCGTTGCATTATGGGTAAATTTCCCCACTAAATTTTGCGGAAAAATTTCCCCACTAAATTTAGCGGAAAAAATTTCCCCTAAGCCTAGCGTAAAAATTTCCCCACTAAATTTAGTGGGAAAATTTCCCGCTAAATTTAGGGAAAAAAATGAAAGCCGTTTACAACTCTCTGAAACTCCGAATTAGAGCGCAGCTCTTGAGGAGGAGGAGGGAAGGGTACAGAGGGTTACGTGTTCTCGGGGGGGGGGGGGGGGGCGGGGTCACGTGACCTAAGGGTGTAGTCACATGACCTTGGGGGGTCACGTGACCTCGGCGAGGTCACGTGACCTCCCAGGTCGCGTGACCCCCAGAGAAATTTTTCCGCTAGATTTATCGGGGAAATTTACCCATTATGCACCGCACGGCTACGACGACGGCGACGCCGCTCAAGCCGGAAACGGGTGCCTGAGAGCTGCGCTGTAAAATTGCATGCCAAATTTAGCGAAAGATTTCCCCTCCAAATTTATCGGAAAAATTTTCCGATAAATTTAGCAGAAAAAATTCCCCGCTAAATTTAGCGGGGAAATTTCCCCGCCAAATTTAGCGTGAAAAAATTTCCCTAAGTGGGATTAAAGGAAAACGGGCATAGCCTCCTCTCGTTACCTTCCCCTCCTCTTCCTCAAGAGCTGCGCTCTAATTCGGTGTTACAGGGGATTGTAAACGTCTTTCATTTTTCGTTTCGGTTTCGGTTTCGAACAGTGTGTCGAACCGAAGCCTTTATCGGTTCGGTTCGGGCTTGGGTTCACCGCTTTCGGTTCAGTTCCGGTTCAGATTTGGGGAGCAATAATAACGGTTTTAACTGGTTCAAACCGGTTTGAACAGGTTTAAAACCGCTAAATTGAGAATACATTTTCCACGCTCTTTCGGCAACAGGTACTATTTCCGCCGTCAAACGAGTAACTACATGTATATAGTTTTTCTATCGTTCATATATTCCACTTTTATTTTCAGGTACCAAAAATAATAAATTACATTATTATTTAATCTTGTCACAACAGTAAAGAAAATCTAGATTAACATACAAAACGTCGTGTTCAATCGACTCAATTTCCATTTGTTTACCTCTGTTACACATTTTACCAGAATCGAAAGTTTGTCACAAGGTGTGGTAGGCCACCTAGAATACCCGTGCTCGGTACAACTTCGCGTCGCAGTATTCAAAGTTGAATTGTAGTTATGCTCTTGAAGTAAGGTATTAATTACAGTGCATAAAATCATAGAATGTGCACTTGTCGCCATATATATTGTGAAATATAGTTTACGAAATACGTTTCACAATATATATAATCATAGACGTAGAGTATGGGAAAGGGGGGGGGCATCGGAGCTTGTGCCCCCCCCCCCTAAGTGAGATCCGGAAAAGCAGAGCCCCCCCCCCCCCCCCCCCCCGCCCGGGCCATGATCCTTACCGAGAGGCTGTTTACGTGCCATGTAACGAGCTTCTAGTAGTGGCAGGTACACAAATTAACGCCCACCTTGCCTTTATTGACAAAATACATAGGAAATGGAATCCCAGCGTGTTACCGTTCTGGCGAGAAGGTAACGCGCACCCTCCCCCCCCCCCCCCCCCCCCCCCCAAAATGGAAAGTCTACGCAGCTGTATATAATGACGAGGCCACTGAGCCGAAGCATCAATATTTTCAAAATGTCGAGAAAGTTGTAGGACCAGCCCTTTCGGTTTACCTTTTATAGAAACTCTGGGCGGCAATCACAATGCTTGTTTTCCTGACCATTATTTGTTTACACTCAGCAACGTACGTGATGCAGGCGAAGAGTCAGACAGAAAGGATTGATGGAAATCGTTCTCTCCAGTTTATTGGCGACGTGCGCGATCGAAAGCGTCGCTGTGGTCGGCCTTCCACGATTGGCCCAAAAGCTGACTATGACGTCGGAAAGGGTATACCATCGACGGAAATAAGAGGAATGAAAGAACTTTAATTTCGACGGTGTTGGCAATGTTGCTTTAAGAGCGCAATGATTTTAGGCTTCCACCATGCTATTTACAAACACCATCGAACTTGTTATTCGCAAGGTAATGACGTCACAAGGGGGAACCATAGGAGGGCGCCACCAAAACATCTCGCCGCTAATACGCACCCTGGTACTCAGATTGAATCTGGCCTAAAATAGCCCGTATTCAAGTGTACATTTTCTTATAGTACAGGATAAACTAACATAGCCTGGCTGTTGAGGTTTGGTTTTGACAAGATTCCAGTCAATTCAGTTCGCGAATGAACATCATCCTTTCTCATTTATTATTATTTTTTCGCTAAATAGAACAAAGTGTTCTATTTGTCATGGTAGCTTCTTAATTGGTCGCTTTCTGACTGTCTGTGTGCGTAATTGTCAGAGTTCCGCCACGCCTGTGTCCTTTGTTTTAACCAGCCCAATGACGCATAAAATGGCTAGCTGTTCATTACATAAAAAAAGCAATAACCGATTTCTATATGTTTGAGAATTTACATATGTGTCAGGAACATTGTTATTTAAATCGCTTTTAAAACCATATATTTGTTTAAGGCTTTCCCAAGTCACTTATACAGTACTTATCGAGGATAAAAACGCCAAAAACGATTGGCAGAGCATCTTTCATATAATTTGGGGTTGCAATTACTTACGAG